CATTTAGTTATTTTCCCATATTCTGGTGGATTTTACAGAAAAGTTGTTTATGTTTATTTTGTATGTGTACAGGAGTTGGTGTTTGAGAACCCCAGAGTGCAAATTCACTCATTACAGTAGTTATTGCTCAATAATACCATATGTCACCAGGCAGGTTTGGCAAATAATTCTTGATAATCAGGTGGTGTTACAACTTATTAATTTTAATGAAAAATCACAAACTTTAATAACTGCCCTTTGCCTTTTTTAATAGTTATTCATAGCCAAACCAATATTGTTGCATAATAACCTGTTTATGGGGACAAAGTTGAAGTAGACTGGGTTTTATTGGTAACAACTAAATATGACAAACAATTAAGAAATGAAAAAGGAGCCAGGACCTTGCAGAACATCCACTCAAACACAAGCCCAACATACCTCCCGATCCAGGCCTGCAGCAACAGTGATGATGTCACCAGTCCTGTTGTTTATGGTAAACATATTATATGATGGGCTTTGGGGATTCTGAGAAAGTATCTTGTACCGCAACATTCCATTGGCCATTTTTGGGTCATCCTTATCCACTGCTGTCACTGTCATTACAAATGATCCTGCAGGAACATAGAAGTAGGTACACTGTAAAACATTTGAAGGTGGTTTAAATTGAAATTAAAGTCCACCTACTACCTTGACAAGCCAATTTAGGTCAGCAAGAAAATTATATTGGTTTTAACCAATTGGTTTAAATTAAAGTTCAGGAACTTGATTTAACAACAAGAGAAAAGTTGTGTTAACATTGTTTTTAAGTTAATTAATCTTGAATTGTGAGTTTTAACTTATTGCTGTAATTTAAACCAAATAATTATTTCACAAAGTGCAAGAAAAAAACTTTGGTTATGTAGTGTAACCCCAGATTCTATGAGTAAAGGCGCAGCCCTTTAAGGCGATCGCTAGTGGGTTTATCCCTCGCATGCAGCTGAGCACTGACAAAAAACTTAGTCCACGCCCACCTGCTGGGTGGACCCCACCCCGGTCTGTATAAATAACGGTCAGACCAGACAAACGGCTCCCTAACAGCGTTTTTCTTAGCTATTCAGGAACCAATGAGGCCCACATCTTAAAGGGCTGCGCCTATACTCATAGAATCTGGGTTTACAATATGCAACCAACGTTCTATTTCGTATAGGCTTCGCCGGATGTAGTCTATGCCTCACTGGGTCCATCCAGACCACCACCATGAAGCATCTGCTCGCATATAACAAAAAACAGTCTCAGCCTAGAGTGCATAATTACCCACTCCCAGCCTCCCATACAGCAGAAGACCAGAGAGAATAGGCTCTGGTTACAAAGGTTGAGATAAACAGACCTGCTGCTGTGAACAGGAACAACGAACGTTATGAACTGTAACAGTGTAACGATGAACAGAGCAGGTGACTTATTATACAGCACTTTGGACAACCATGTTGTTCTCAAATGCTTTGTAAATAAACGTAACAAAAATAATTATTCTGTCAGAACTCTGAGGACAGAATGGGTCATAGAGAACGTGGAAACATCAAACAGGTAAAACCAAATAAATGAGCCCAGAGATGACCAGGAATCTGCCTTGCAAATGTCCTCCACAGACATTCCTCCACGCAGAGCTGTGGAGGATGAAATCCCTCTGGTGGAGTGAGCTCTCAGATTCTCTGGAGGATCCAGTCCAGAGGAAGTGTAAGCCTGTGAGATGGCCTCACACAACCAGTGAGAAAGATGTTGGGTGGACAAAGGACGCCCCACTGAGTTATATCTGTAATGCACGAACAGACGCCGAGAGTGACAGAGTGCAGACGTGCGTGCCACATAACAAGAGAGCGCGCGCACAGGGCAGAGAAGATTAGATGCCGCTTCTTCCTCAGAGTTATGAGGAGATGGGTTAAAACCCTCCAAAGATATCTCTCTTGATCTGAATGAGCTTGTAATGCTTTTAGGAATAAAAGCAGGATTTGCACAGCTGAGCTGCCGTCGCGTCGGCTCGTATTCTGAGACAAGAGGCAGCACAGAGAGAGCGGATAAATCGCTCACTCTCTTTGCAGATGTAAGGGCCAACAGCAGAGCAGTTTTAAAAGACTAAGAGGAGTTTGATCTAAAGCAGGGGTGTCCAAAGTCGGTCCTCGAGGGCCGGCATCCAGCATGTTTTAGGTCTTTCCCTGGTTTAAAGCACCTGGATCAAATGATGGTTCGTTAGTTGGCCTAAGAGCAACATTGAAAAGCTAAAAAGGTTGTTACTACTACCAGGGAGAGAACTAAAATGTGCAGGATGCCGGCCCTCGAGGACCAACTTTGGACACCCCTGATCTAGAGGCTCGAATGGAGCTTTAACCAGAGCAGACCAGGGTCAATCCAGCAAGTGGGCGTGACACAGGTCTGCTTCTGCGCACACCTCTCAGAAACCGCTTCATCAGCAGGTGGTTGAAGACCGTTCTGTCACCAAAACCCTCATGGCAGGAGGAAATAGCTGCAGCATACGTTTTAATGGTGTTGAAAGCTAAATTTCTATCCATCAGCTGCTGGAGAAATGACAGCACGCAGCCTAAATGACATGCAATGGGCGCAATTGGCTCCATGCCCTCTCTCGTGCACCAGTGTTGAAAGGCTGACCATTCCGAAGCATATAATGCTGTGGTAGAAGCAGGTTGTGCGCCCTGAATTGTACGCACCACATCCTGAGGGAGAC